GGTCCATGGAGAATCCAGTTTGAACCTGTCTATGCAAGCCTCCCCAAGTGGTGATGCTACTCTGGTGGTGTTACAGCTGGAGGGAATTTACCTAACCAGCCCCCCTGTTCTTAGCTCCTGTTAGCGCTGTGGTCCCTCTTCCCCATGGAATTACATGCAGTCCCTGGCCACAATGACAGACCAACTTAATTCAGTCAGGTTTGTGCAGGATATAGTAGGAAATTACCATCTCTGTCACACTACTTCTTTAGGAACAAAGGTGTTGAGTTAATATGTTTTCAGTGTAATGAATCCAGCCTACAGCCTTCTTTGTTTTGCATCTTGCATTCCTCCATCTCTTCCTCTAGTCAAAGTATTAAAGAGATCAAGTTTTGAGAAATGAACATGGTGCCGTGGTGAAGAATTGCTTCCAGAGAATTGATAATGAGATGAAGACATTCACCTCTAGTTCACTTGTTCAGATCTGGTCCAGATCAGGAGAAAGCAAATCTTACCACTTGACAGTTTATGTGAAATGAGTCGGGGGTCTCAGTCCTCTTCCTTGCAGATAGATTTCAACATGACAGTTGTCAATCTTAATAGAGAAGCTGAGGATTAAAAAGACTATGGAGGCTGAACCTACTTCCTTTCTCCTGGAGCTGTTTCTTGCAGGTCAGCAGCAAGGCCCACTGGTGGATTTAGGAACTGGCACTGCCAGTTCTAGGAGTAGAGGACTTCAGTCCCCAGGGCTGGTAGGCTGGCACCTTTCACTAACGCTGAACATACTCATATGGTTTGGGTTTGGATCTGTATGGGTAGGGCTGTGTGAGAGCTCTGCTCACAGCATGTGGTAAAACATTATGACTCCCTAGCTCTTACAGAGCACTTCTTGGCAGTATATCTCCGAATGTTTTACAAAGTCAATCCTCAGTATCATTATCCCCATTTTACAGCTGGGGAAGCTGAGGTTCACAGGGGTGAAGTGATTTTCTGGAGTCACCCTACAGACCAGTGACAGCCTGCATCTATCCACACTGCCTCTGTGACATGAATATTACACAGATGCTAAAGAGCAGTCTACAGACAAATAACACTCAGCACTTACAGCCCATAGAGCTCGTCACTGCAACCAACCTGATGTTTAATACCAAAGCATTACTTGTGGAAACTCCAGGCCACAGCCTACAATACTGTATCGCTTAGCAGAAGGCCGTATAGCAGATTAAAACCTGGAGTGTCTACAGGCTACATCTCCTCGCTGAAATTGAAGGAGCTTGTAATCTGTGCTCTTTGATCCAAATGGATGTGGCCCATAGGTTCTTGGCAAGCTGTCAGTGCAGCCCAAAGGTGGGTTAAAATAATTTTTTTCTGATTAGCTTTCAGCATGCAAGACAGTGAGCTAAGCTAAATAAGTAACTGGTCTCTACCCTCCAAGAGCTTACAATTTAAAGATAGTTTATGCTCCAATACATCTGTTAGTCTATAAGGTGCCACAGGACTCTTTACTGAATCTAAAGATAGTGCAACCATGGAAACTCAAGTCTGTCTGCTTCCTGCAAAGTGGAAAGCAATAGTTACGGTACATCCAAAAGCAGATAGCATTCGGGGGTATGAGAAGGTGCTTTCTGAAGATAGAAGAGCAGTAAAGATGTTTGGGGGGTGGGGGATGCTGCCTGTGCTGTTGACTAAGCATTCCTTTCAAACATGCAATAGTTTGAATATACCTATCTAAATAAGCTAATTGCAGCAATTGCAGGTAACCTGAGAATTTAGTCTAGAGGAAATCTGTCTTAGTTTTGCTCAGAGCTGCATTCTGAAAGGTCATGTTCTTGGCATGCAAAACCTCTGCAATGAATTTGACAGTGAAGTTTTACACCCAGATTCGAACCTGTAATACTGGACCGGCCATCTTCCTATTAAGTGACCTCATTTGTGATGCTGACAGAATGGTCGTCCAGGATGTGAGACTGTATACTGGCACTTTGTCCTGTTCTCGTCAGTAATTAAGTTTTATGGCATTGAAATTTGTCCTAACAACACTTACTCACTGTCTACAAATGCAGTATACCGATACATAAAGTGTTAATTACAACCATATATGAATGGTTACTAAATTGCAAAGAACTTTTTAAAACAGGAACAGCTGATTAAACCTATTTTAAAAACCTTTGTACAAGATGACTTGAGCTTTGAATTATTGGCGTTCTCCTATCTCCTGGGAAAGATGGACAAAGTACCAAGAGCATAAGATTGCTCCACTCTAGCTGTATTAAATACCTGCCAGTTGACTAGTTCTTCATCAGACCAAAAGCGCTTATGTCAATAATGGCTTCAGCTATTTTCCTCTTCATTTTTCGTAAAAGGAGCTATTCTAGCTATTGTGATAGAGATGGCAATTTCCTGTTATATCTTAGGGAGACCTTACTAATTAAGTTTAAGTATCTTTGGAGTCCATTGTATTAAATGAATAGTTCATATATTATTGTGGGTCGTGATTGCATGTAACCGCTCGAGGGGGGAGATGTGACAGATGTGAGACCTAGCGTTTCAAAGGACTATCATGAACAATGTGTCAGACAAGAATGGGCTTTTGTAATACAAAGTGTCAAGTGGATTTCCTGGGGAATATCTAGAGCAGCGGTGGTCAAACTTTTTGGCCCGACGGGGATAGAAATTGTATGGTGGGCCATGAATGCTCACAGAATTGGGGTTGGGGTGCAGGAGGGGGTGCAGACTCTGGGGTGGGGCTGGGAATGAGGAATTTGGGGTGCAGGAGGGTGCTCTGGGCTGGGATCAAGGTGTTTGGCGAGCAGGAGGGGGATCGGGGCTGGGGCAGGGGGTTGGGGCATGGGGAGAGGCTCAGGGGGTGTAGGCTCCAAGCGGCACTTACCTCAAGTGGCTCCTGGAAGCAGTAGCATTACCCTTCTCTGGCTCCTACGCAGAGGTGTGGCCAGGCGGCTCTGCACGCTGCCACATCCGCAGCCCCATCCGCCCCATGCATCCCCATCCACGGCTTCTGGGAGCAGCGTGGTGCGGCCCCTGACCCAATGCCCCAGCCGGAGTGGGGCCGAGCCGCGTGGTGTGGCTCACAGTCCGGCTTAAAACGGCTCGTGGGCTGTAGTTTGCGCACCCCTGATCTAGGGGGAGGTGAATGCAAATTCCTCACCTCTGATTATGCAAAAACCCAGCCTTTCAAAGCTAGGCCCTGAGGAGCAGGCCACTGTCTGCTGATCATCTGTTACATGAGGCCAAGATTAAGCTATTCATGGTGGTTCTTGATTCTGAATCTGTGCCAGTTATGAACCTGTAACCATGGGGAAAGCCCAGTTGTGAGTTTTGAAGGACTGACACCTACCAGAGCCCTTGTTGACCTCTGATAAACTTTTTAGCTTGCAAGTAGGTTCTTTTAGTCTTTTAATATGTTTTCTCTGTAATGCTTTCACCTGAAGAGTAAAGGTGCTTGCTTACAAAGAGCTGTGTGGTAACTTATAACTGTGGGCTATCCACTGGGCACAGCCTCTGGAGAGAAAGCAAAGCACAGATGCTGGCCTTTTAGGCAGACTGGCTTGCTGGGAGCACCAGAGGGTGGGTAGAAAACTGTGCAGCCTTTAAAGAAAAAAGGAAAATAATGCAGCTCTCTACCCAAGAGAGGTGACGGCTGAGGAGCTGGGAACTTAGAGTGGGGGCCCTTGAGGGACCACTCGGGGGAATACAGGTACAGTTGCCCTGAACTGTGACAGAAATATTGTTGCAAATCCTCCTCCCCTATGTTACGTTGCTGTAAATGTCATAACACACTTTATACTAGTAATTCTGTTTGCAGTTCTTAACTGGAGTCCAGGGGGATAGCTTTAGCCCTTGCTATTTAGGGTCCTAAATAACAGAGTCGTTTTAAATTCTTAGTTTCAGTGTTTGGAGAAATGTATGAGACCCACTACTGGCCAGAAGACTCAACTTACCAGCCAGAACAAAACAATCTGAACACTAAAAAAATGCAGGGAGGGCAGCCAGCACTACCCTGCTCATAGGTTTGCCAGCCCAGCAATAGAGTAAAACCAACATATATATTTATTCTTTTTTCTGCTGCCCAGTTGGTAGCTTGAAGCTGACCAGAGGCTTGTTAATTTCACACTGACACTGCTTGGCAAAGCTCTTAGCAGCAGTAAAAGGACAGGAGCTAGCTAGCTGGCTGCAGACTTAGGAAGATGGCACTGTGTTGCTTTACAGTTGGGTCATATTTAGAAGCTTATCTTTGAAACCATGAGAGCTAGAAGTTTTTTTAATTACATTTAAATGATATGTAAATTGATGGTTTAGGCCCTTGGCTATTCAGATAAAGCTTCCTACGCACCGTTAGCACGTAGATGTCAATTTTTCAAAACCTGCTTCATTTTCTCTTCCTGCAGAAACTTATCTGCCAGTCTGTTCTGTCTCAATCTCTTGGAGGGACTTAGGGGTCTCTTAGTTTCCATCAATACGAAAGTTAAACATAAAGAAGACTCTGATATATCTTAGCTATCTTCCATTTGTGCATGTCTGGCCTACAGAAGTGGTCACACTTTACATACGTGCAGGATTGTAAAAGATGTTCCCGGAATAAAAGCAGGGTTAACATTTTTTAAAAGCTACTTCACAACAGGAACAGAACCTCATTAATAATAATCATTAGAGAACAGTGATTAAAAGGTTTCATCTGTGGTTGCAGAGTTAAGGGAAATGAAGTAAGCTTTCAGTGCTTGCAGCTGTGTCTGTCATATCTATTCTTCAACCTACACTAAAGAGACAACATCTTCACACTACCTTCATCCTTCAGATCAGCTCCCCATCCCAGATTGTGATTTGTGGGAGGAAGATAATTCTTCTATCCCTGATGTCAAGCAAGCATTGCTTCCACCCTACCAGCTTGGGCCTTCTTAAAGATAAGCAGGCAGGCGTTCCTTCAGGATTTCAATCTTGCACATAGCTTTGTTTGACTGGAAACGTAAACTGATGGGTGTAATTTAGTTTTTTCTCTTTGACAGGCAACTGCTATGTCAGTGGATTGTCTTGGACAGCATGCGGTGCTCTCAGGGTGAGTGTGACACTTTCCAATAGAAATTTGTGGCAGTCTCTTTCAGAAGTCAAATCATTGACCTTCAGGCTGATCTTGATTGAAAAGCTGATGTACTGTTGGAGGGGGGTGAAACTGACTTCTATTCAGAGCTTACTGGGTCACGTTTCCCACGCGACAGAGAGGCAAAAGACAGAAACACTAACTCAAACACTGTTGCTGTTTCTGCAGTGGATGCTTTCCTGATGACACCAGTAGAGTCTTTGGAGTGTCACTTAACTAGTATGGCCATCTGGAATTCTGCTTGAAGTACAGATCACTGATGGTTTTCTTTAGAATCATAAATGAATTAATAAGCTCTTAAATTATGCAAGTGGGTGGGAGATCCTGTATTTTGCTGTCAATATCCCTGCCAGGTGAATCCATGCAGTATGGTCAGCTAAATTAATGCCCCAGTTTATCTTACCGTGGTTTTCCAAAGTCCAGCTCCCCCACTCCTTACCCCTCATTCCCTTTTGTATAGGACCCTGGTGTATCACTTCCTTGTGTGGCAAGGTATGTGTTAGGAACTGGAGGCAGTGGTCTGAGAGCACCTGACCCCTCTGTACATAGGCCCTTGCCTTCTCTGCCTCTGGATCCTGCAAGGAAACATGAGAGAAGAGTAGAAGTGGCTCTCTTATAAATTAGGACCTAGGCTGAGCACACCCCTTGGGCTTTGACTTTCCCCTGAGCGTGCACCGCAAAGTCAGGCCTCCAACAAATGAATTACCTATTTGAAAAGTGCAAAACCCTGTGCTTACGCCCTGGAGCACCATCGCCAAGATATGGAGGGACTAGTCAGGTTATACCAGGCCCAGAGGAGGTCAGGACAAGGATGGGGAGCAGCTACCATCATGGTCCTCCAGTGATATGTGAGGGCATAACCCTGCAGAATGCATGTATGGTCCTGCAGTTCTGGTTGTTGGAAGAAACCCTCTAGATTGGCATGGTAGCAGGTGCCATAGATATTTGGCTTTCAAGGCACCTGCTCCCTTTGGCACTGTGACTCGGAAGCCTCCTGAGTGGCTGGTGTTTAAACTGCTTGGGCTGCATGTGTTTTGCTCCCACCTGTCACATTACTGTGAGCTAGTAACTCATTGCCATATGCTAATGGCACATTACCAGCCATTAGCATGTTCTTTTCAAAATGAAAGATGTGGCTGCAGCTATCTGGCTGACTCCACAGTTGTGCTCAATGGTTGTTCCTCCCTCTACTGCTCCTGTCTCTCTGTCTTTAAAGCAAAAAGACAAAGTCTGTGGATACCCATCACCCCACCCCCAAGCCTGCCTGTCTCCTCCTTGTAGTCACATCCCTCAGTGCCGCTTTGTCCCCAGCAGTGTCTGATTTGAACAGGAACAGCAGGCCCGGCAGTCAGTGTAGGTCTAACTCAGAGGTGGGCAAACTGTGTGGCCCGTGGGACCGTCCTGCCCCACCCTTGCACTCTTGGCCTGGAGGCTAGCCCCTGGCTCCTCCCCTGCTGTTCCCTCTCTGAGCGCTGTGGGGCTGCGAACTGCTGCTGCTCTGAGCGGCATGATAAGGAGGGGGCGGGGGTTGGATAAGGGGCAGAGGGTTCCGGGGGGCAGTCAGGGGACAGGAAGTAGGGGGCAGTTGGATGGGGTGGAGATTCTCAGGGGGCGGTCAGGGAATGGGGAACCAGGGGGGCTGGATAGGGCGTGGGAGTCCCAGGGGGGTCTGTCAGGGGTTGGGGTTATGGATAGGGGTCAGGGCAGTCTGGGGGCAGGGAGAAGGGGGATTGGATAGGGGGTGGGGTCCTGGGGGGCCTGTCAGGGGGTGGGGGTGTGGATAGGGGTCGGGGGGGCAGTCAGGGGAAAGGGAGTGGGGGGGTTGGATGGGGAGTTTCCGGGGGGTGGTTAGGGCTGGGGGTCCTGGGAGGGGGCAGTCAGGGGACGAGGAGCAGGTGGGGTTGGATGGGTCGGGGGTTCTGAGGAGGGCAGTCAGGGGGCGGATGGGGGCGGGGCCCAGGCTGTTTGCGTGGCACAGCCTTCCCTTCCCGGTCCTCCATACCGTTTCTCACCCCGATGTGGCCCTCGGGCCAAAAAGTTTGCCCACCCCGGTCTAGCTGGATACCACTCCCACTTGCACGTTTTGATTTGCTCATGCCAGTAACACAGCTAGCTTGCCTGCATTTATAATGGCTTAGGGGGCAGCCCTGCATTTTTGAAAATCTGCTGTGTGTGCCACACCCACACCTGAGCCCATTCCCATGCCTCTGTCCACCAGCATGCTCAGCACCCTGTGAAAACCATGCATATGCCTGTCTCCCACACGCCTTACACTTCTGAGAATGTAGCCTCCGATGATTTTAAAAGGCTTGGTTTGCAAAGGAAACCCAGCGGTCTTCCTGTTCCTCCTCTTGGCAGTGCTGTCAGAGCGCCCAGAACAGCTGCCTGCTTACCGTACATCTGACCTTTGTGTGATCAGTAATAAGTAATTCAGGACATTCCAGTGCCAGCCTTTTGTAGAACTTTAACAGTCCTGATATCCTCTTATCTTTTCTGTCTCTCTTTGGATCCTCTCTAACTTATCAGTGTCTCCAGTCTGATCCTTTCTACACTTTTGACTTCACACACTTACCAAAAGGGGATTGAGGGAATTCAGCATTTGCAGGAGTAATTTTTATTTGTGCCTTATCAAATGCTTCTCTTTTTTTTTTTTTTTTGGCATGATAGGCAGATTGTTAGTTCAGCTTGGTTTCAGGCTAGCTGTGATAATGCAGGCTCTTTGTGTGTATGTACCTTGCAGCCGCCGTTTCCTCTACCTAGTTAACCTGGATGTGCCAACCGAAGGTCACCGCAAGATCTCCCGTCAGAGCAAATGGGACATTGGGGCAGTGCAATGGAATCCACATGACAGCTATGCACACTACTTTGCAGCTTCGGTGAGCTCACTTTTTAAACACTTACATCTCCATGAATGCCCTAGTCCTGCAGTTGGATCCACACAGGTGGAACTTCTGCTTCTACAAGGCTAGTGGGGCTCAGGAGCAGCAGAAGTGGAGAGGTCACCGGCTCCTGAACTGTGGCTCAGCCCCTGAGGCCCCTTCTGCTTAGGCCCCACCCTCATGATTCACCTTTATGCCAGTAAAAAATGGGAGGGCAGAGCCCTCCCACTCTTAAAAGTGATGGGGCCATGCCCCCAGACCCTCTCTGTTCCAGCACCCCTGACAGGGCTCTGTGCTGGCACAAGAGTAGCATATATATGCACATGTGTGCAAATCATATTGCAAGATCAGGTCTTATGTTTGGTTTATTGCTGGCAAGGTGGTAATTCTTAGTTACTGGTCAGTGGATGATGATTCTAGATGTCTCTTATTTGTCTTTTCTAAAGAATCTTCTCAAATAGATAAGGCCCACAAATTATCATTATCCAATAGGGAATGGTGGGCTCTGCATTTTTTTAACCCCTCCATTTTGTTACATGACTTACAAGTGTGTTAAATTTCTTGCTCTGTACTATTTTGTTCTTGGCATTGCTGATGGGATGTGGTTCTTGACCCAGTCTGTAAATAAAGCCGATCAATATTGGCTTATCTCCATAACAAACACAGGAGGGCAAAAAAAAGAGTTGGGGTTTGCAAATGGGCAAAGGACTGAGTTTTGTCCTGAAGTGACTATCACACTGAAAGTTAAGGTGGTTTTAAAATGAAAAAACAGAGACACTGAGGAATCATCCTACGTTGGTTGCTCTGACCCATGAGACAAATGACAGGCATCTTATCCATGCCTTCAGGCAGCTGGCTCTTCCTAAATAGCTTACAAAAAGGTGCCCTTCACTACTGCTTTTTGATATTTACAGCCTGTGATGATCACAAGCAATAATACCTGGCATCCCAAAAGTAATGTTAGTTGCAAGCCAAGTAAGAGGCTTCTCTTCAAATGCAGGCTGAAAAAGGAATGCATTGTCCTCGCAATGCTGGTTCCAGCAGCAAGCCAACTTCCTGGGAATGCTGTAGCTAAGCAGTGTGAGCTTTGCTAACTCCCAGTGAACCAGGGGGTCCCTCCAGGCAGCCTTGCCTTCAGAAGAGCGGTGCTAAAGTTCTAACCCAGCGTCCTTGAGATGCAAAGAGCATCCTTTTGCTCCCCCATAATAAGCTGTAGTTTGCACCAAGCCTGCCTACAAACGAATTCCATTGCGTTTCAGTGTCTTGGTAATAGGTTTATAGGTATCCTCATTGCTGAAGCAGGTCAGGGAAGGAGTTCGCATTAGGGCTCAAGTGGCGGCATCCCCATCTCCAGGCCAGAGGAGAGAGAGAGGCTTTTCTCCCTTGTTGTTGTTGGCTGATGTTCCGGTGGCAGTCTGGAAGAGGGCTTTCCACGGGCTAAAACTTACCCTATCTAATTTGGAGGCAGGAATGCTAGAATCCTTCTCCTTGAAGTCTGTGCAGTGTTCTCATGACACTTCTGAAGTTTTCATTGGTTTTCAGGACTCTTTAGAGATAGCCCTCTCGAGTGAACTGCACCTTGGGTGGCCCTTTATGGCTGTGCGCAGGGGGTGTGAAACACCATCACTCTGACTTGGGAGTCATTCACGTTTCTTTTGTGTGCTGTACATGACTGCAGTCAATGCAGGCAGAGAGGAAGTCCATCCCAGGGTTGCTGGAGGAGGAGTTCTTATTTTTTGGCTTCTTCCCAAAGGAATCCGCACACACGTTCTCTCCTTGTGCCTGGCTCTGACTAGAGTCTGGCCTGGGAAAGTTCATGTCCTTCTGTTCCTGGGACCCTGTTATTCCCCCGCCTTCAGGATAGTCATAAACATTTCTTCAAGAGGGGTGAACAGACCCTTCTGAAGCCATTCCTCATACGTGCCCTGAGGAGTGGTTGTTGGGAAGCAATCGCAGTGTGCAGCTGTCGCTCTCTGGAACCAGGAGCTGTGCTGCCAAAGATGCCACCTTCCGGCTGACATGTGCCACTGAGGTCCTGAGACACCTGCTGACACATCCTACAAAGAGGTGAGGTGGTATCCGGGGTGCCCTGGCCAAATTTCACTGTGGACTGGTATTCCACCTCCCCCAAATCCCCCGACGCTTTCAAAAGGCTGTGGGAGTCTCCCTGTTCTAAGCCCACGTATAGAATTGCTGTCACTGTTAAACAGGTGCCACATTCCATCACAGAGCCGGAGGGTTGCGTTTCAGTGATGAGGAAGTGTGTTATCCATCTGTAAATACCGAGCTTTGGAATGAATAGTGCTGCATAAATGTAAACTACCTGTACTCTGAACTATTATGGTTTCCATCAGATGTCTGTACTGTTAAAACAAGGGGATAATGCAGATAATTAAATGGCAAAAGCTTTGTTAATGCAGAGTTAATGTTCTCGGTGATACCTCGTTCCCTTCCAGAATGTCAGGTTCAGCGAAGCTCAAACTTCTGAAAATCGGGCAGAGTTGAGCTTAGGTCATGTTCAGTGGACTGCTGCTTATCCCCTTGCACTATCCAGCTGGTGGGAAACATTGAAGCTAATAATCCTGTTAACTTCTTTGTCTGTACATGCTCAGTGTAATTGGTTAGGTGCAAGAATAAGCGCGGGAGGCTTGCAATGAGCCCTTTTTGAAATAGCATTTAATTTGATTTCCCCCAAAAGAGCTCTGCTGTGGTGTGATGAGCTGAGCCCTGGTTTTATCTCTGTCTGCAAGTAAAAGGGAGGTTGCCAGAATCTGTCAGCTTTAAGAAAAGCTGTTTTTTTCCAGGAGCTTTATCTTGGGAACCCCTTGGCCAAATGGGGCCAAATTTGGCTCGCTAAGAAAACCCCACAGCCCTATGAGGCACACTGAATTTCAAGGCAATCTGATTCTAGAGAACTTAGAATCAAGCTTTAAACAGAAAACTGGTCTTAACTCTAGCGAAGCGGTCTCTCTGCTGTAACAAGAATGAGTCTTGGAACCACACTATTATTTATTAGGTGTATTACAGTAGTGCCTCAGAGCCCTAGCCATGGACCAAGACCCTGTTGTGCTAGGAACTGTACAAACACAAAACAAAAAGACAGTCCCTTCCCCAAAGAGCTTCCAATCTAAGTAACAGTTCCAGGGAGATACTTACCATAGATACACCTGGGTCATCCTTGTGATCTCCAAATAGCAATGTGAGCTAGTGCCTCATTCCCTTAGCCAGAAGGAGTGGGGAGCACCCTGAAATGCTCCCACTGTAGCAGTCACTCCTTCCTGTTTGGCAGTGGCATAGATGGGTTTTGGGGGACCTCTTCCCACCTGTCATTTAAAACTCCAGGATAAATCTGTATAGAATGCAAAGGAATTCCTGCAGGCTGACTCATGGCTGCCGGTAGTTTGAACACCACACACTGGGTCCAGAGTAGGACACTTAGGGAAACATTTGACCTTGGGATTTTGTCTACATTCCTATTCACCTCTAATTTTGAGTGAATTGAAGCAAGATTTAGGCTTTGAAGAGAGTTTCAAAAGCTTTATCTGCCAATCAGGCATGGGTTCATCTTCGTTCCCCTCCCACTCTGAGTGAAGCCTCTGCCATAAAGGGTTTGACTCACCAGTAACTGATACTGTTCCAATCGCAGGGACCTCGAACTTGACAGATCCGGAGCCCTGTACTGCTCTGTGGGCCTTCCACCACCTCATTTCATCCATTTAATTTCAGAGCAACCAGCGAGTTGACCTGTATAAATGGAAAGATGGTAATGGGGAAGTTGGCACGTCACTGCAAGGGCACACGCGTGTGATCAGGTATGAGAATGAGGAACCCAGCACTGCTTTGAGGTACTGTGAGGAAAATCACAGGGCTGGCTTCATAGCTGGTGTACACTGAAGCATAGTCATCACAACCCTTTTGCTTGGAGAAATTCAGACTATTTTTACCCACTTTCTTAGCCCCTGCTGCCACTTGGAGAAGATCTCTGATTTAAAGAGGCCACCATTCCATGGCTGCAGCATGCACATCTGGTTCAAGTTAGTGTCTGGTGACTTCGGTGTCATTACACTTTCCCATGGCAGTTCTCCTAAAGAACAGCAGCCGCCGTCAGGGAAACAGACAGCCAGGGGCTATTAAACTGAATCCCACCTGCGACTCAGACTGACGCCAGAGACAGGGAAGTAGGGCACAGGCAGTCCTTAATGGCTAAGTTGTCGCACATTGCACTAGTACACGGGGAAGCTCTGGAGTCTGATGCATGCCAACGGGTGGGCCTGGGATTGTCACAGGACTAGTGCTTTCATTCTGTGGTGGGGATGGGGTAAAGAAAGCATTTCTCCCTTGCATGTGGATTGTGAAGACTAATTGCAGCCCTTCGGACAGTTGCCAGCCCTCTCTGGTTGAGGGCTGTGTTTGTGTTGCACGTACAGCTGTGATGTGCCTCGCAGAATGGAGGGCTGGGGCTAAGAAATGCGTGGCAATCTGGGGTTTGCTGCTAAAATATCCCCTCTCTTTGTAAAAACAACGAGGAGGACTTGTGGCACCTTAGAGACTAACAAATTTATTTGGGTATAAGCTTTCGTGGGCTAAAACCCACTTCATCAGATGCATGGAGTGGAAAATACAGTAGGAAGATCTATATAACAGTACATTAAAAGATGGGAGTTGCCTTACCAAGCGGGGGGTCAGTTCTAACGAGACAATTCAATTAAAGTGGGTTATTATCAACAGGAGGAAACATCCCTTTTATAGTGGTAATCAGGATGGCTCATTTCAAACCGTTGACAAGAAGGTGTGAGTAACACCTTTTCAACTCCATGCATCTGATGAAGTAGGTTTTAGCCCACAGAAGTTTATGTCCTGATAAATTTGTTAGTCTCTAAAGTGCCACAAGTACTCCTCATTGTTTTTGCTGATTCAGACTAACACGGCTACCACTCTGAAACCCTCTTTTTGTGGGGCGGTGGGCAGAAGTAGTAGCTATAAGGCAGAGTGTGGCGAGGATCATTTACTTAAAGAAATAAGGTAGGTCCTGCTTTTATTCATGAAGTCTTTAGGAAATCTCAATGTAAATGCCATGGGTTTGTTACGGAAAGTTGTGGAGAGTTGCTTTATGAACTGCCGAGAAGAGAATGCCAACAGTGTGTTATGTGTGCAACTGACAATTGTGTTCTCCTTTGGTTTTGCATTTGCAGTGATTTAGACTGGGCGGTGTTTGAGCCAGATCTGCTGGTTACCAGTTCTGTTGATACGTACATCTACGTTTGGGATATCAAGTAAGAGCAAGAGCCTCCACTCTTACGCTATGGGAAGATTATGGGGCTTCTCTTTTTTGGTGACTGGCAGCTTGGAGGAAAAAGTGCTCTCGTTCTCTTTCAGCTGTGCTTGCAGAAGCCAGAACCAATTTCCCTTAGTCTCAACAGCTCCCCAGTCCTTCAAGTAGGTTCAGAATCTGCACAGTTGTGCTGTTCTATAAAGTTATGTCATGGTCCCACACTGAACAGGAAGAGGCACTGATGGATTTTTGCCCCAAAAATCTTTCTATCAAAACTTTTTTTAATAGAAAACTGCCTTTTTTTTCCTTTGGGGGGGAAAGAAAAAACTCCATTTTTGTCAAAAACCTTCAGTTTTTCAACAGCCTGAATAATTGCAAAGAAAACTGCTTAAATTTTTTTTATTTGTTTTTATTTGAAGTATTTCATTAGAGTGAAGAATTTCTTGACCAGTTCCACCTAAGAGTGAGTTAAAGTGAGTTATACTTGTTCCCATAATATAAAAACTAGGGGCCACCAAATGAAATTAATGGGTAACAGGTTTAAAACAAATAAAAGGAAGTTCTTCTTCACTCAACACACAGTCAACCTGTGGAACTTCTTGCCTAAGGGGGATGTGAAGGCTAGGACTATAACAGGGTTTAAAAGAGAACTGGATAAATTCATGGAGGGTAAGTCCATTAATGGCTATTAGCCAGGATGGGTAAGGAATGGTGTCCGTAGCCTGTGTTTGTCAGAAGGTGGAGGTGGATGGCAGGAGAGAGATCACTAGATCATTACATGTTAGGTTCCCTCCCTCTGGGGCACCTGGCATTGGCCACTGTCGGTAGACAGGATACTGTGCTGGATGGATCTTTGGTCTGACCCAGTATGGCCATTCTTATGTTAAAGTCCTAAGGTCGGAGTGTCTGCTGCTGTGAGTTGTCACAGTGCTGCATTTACTTACACCAGCTCAGCAACTGGCCCAGCGGGACCGCTCAACTTTATTAATTCCTCCTAATTTTATTATAGCCTGGAGACAGATAAGTTTTCTTTACTCTGGGGCTGTGATTCCATCTGCTGTGAATTGGGATCATCAAAGGCTTTGATAAACTGATTGGCAGGTTGTCTAATTTTACTGTAGCTTCTTCATATACTGCTGAATCTTCTTTGGAAATGTTGTGTTGTAACGTCCACCACAAGAATGGCAGTAGCTGTCCCTTTGCCTCCCACAATAGCCACACGCCAAAGGGAGCATAGTTTCTCTCCCCCCTACCCTATCACAAAGACTCTGCTAAAAAGCCCCCAGTTCTGCCTACAGTCTTAGAATCATAGAACTGGAAGGGACCTTGAGAGGTCATCTAGTCCAGTCTCTTGCATTCAAGGCAGGACTAAGTATTATATTTAATGTTAATGCTTTACATGTTAAAGCACAGGCTAAAATTGTGATTCTTCTCTGGCTGGTGCCCCCTTCCATTAGACTTGTTTGTGAGCACAGACAAGTTTGTGTCATATCTGCCTCCTTGTTTAAAAAAAAAACAACCCCCCAGAGATAAATAAGATCCAGGAGCCAGTAATAAGTTCAATTTTCCATTAGAAAGGACCTCCCAGGGGAGAAGGGGTTGTCCCAGCTGAGGAGAGATGAGGGACTTATATTGGTAATGTTATGTTTCAGGGACACCAGGAAACCTACAGTCTCGCTCTCTGCAGTTGGTAAGTACTAGTTCCTGTTATAGGCATAACCTCTGCCTGCATTGTCATATGCCTCTGCTATTCCACCCTCCCTGCTCTCTCTGGTTTTCTTCTGCATTCAGACCCAGGCATGAAAACACTAGCATAGGTGACTGTCCCACACAGCAGCAGCCTGGGCAGTAGCTGTTTCTTGGAGGTCCAAAGGCTCTTTTCAGAGACGCTGTTTAGAGCAGAATTGAGGTGTATGAAGAGGAGAGGCCTCCTTGGTTGCATGCTGCCATTTTCCAGTGCCAAAATAATCGCTAGGGCCAAGAGTCACAGCGATTGGGGGCGTGGAGAGGTGTTGAGTGAGTGGGCAGGAGGCTGGCTGGATGGCCTGCATGCATTGGGCAGCTGTGAGTCAGCCTGAAGGAGTGCCTGGGGTGCAGTGGGGAAGTGGCATGCCAGCCAGCTGGGGGCAGGGGAGGGCGTTGCAGAGCTGGCTGGCTGGAACGAAGGAAGACTGGCTTTAGCAGGTAAATGAGCTATGCAGAGTGGTTGAAAGCACAGAGAGGGTGAGGGTGATAAGATGGAGGGGTCTGGGCCCCCTCTCACCTTGGCTCTGATTATGCCTCAAGCACATACCTACTCCATATGCAGGAGGCGCTATGGTGCTGTGCTCATTTGTTCCTGTGCTGAGAGCTCCGTATACATGTCTGTCTCATGCTGACAGGCTTGCTGGGGACTCTGTGTCTCGTAACAATGACTGACTATGACAAAAGGGGAGGAGCTAAAGCACGAGAGCTGAGTTCTAGTCCCACCTCTGCCACTGACTTTATCCCAGTCACCTCCTCCCCATAATACCTACTCCCCTCCAGGTGGGCTTGGGAGGCTGAACGAATGGTTGGAAAGCTCTTGGGTACAGGACCCTGTGGTGGTGCTAGGGCAGCTGCTCGAAAGTGAGGTGCTTAGCTGTGTGGTGTCTCTGTGACTCAGATGTACGGAGCCTTGTTCTTTCCTCATCACCCTGCTGCACGTGTCTGTTCTCTCTAAACCATGGCTCTCTTCCCTAACGCAATTTTTCTATGTCCTTTTATACTTGACTGAACCAGTTGAGAAACTAAAATGTATCCTGGGGTGTTATAAGAACATAAGAACGGCCATATTGGGTCAGACCAAAGGTCCATCCAGCCCAGTATCCTGTCTACCGACAGTGGCCAATGCCAGGTGCCCCAGAGGGAGGGAACCTAACAGGTAATGATCTAGTGATCTCACTCCTGCCATCGATCTCCACCCCCTGACAAACAGGTTAGAGACACCATTCCTTACCCATCCTGGCTAATAGCCATTAATGGACTTAACTTCCATGAATTTATCCAGTTCTCTTTTAAACCTTGTTATAGTCCTAGCCTTCACAACCTCCTCAGGCAAGGAGTTCCACAGGTTGACTATGCACTGAGTGAAGAAGAACTTCCCTTTTATTCGTTTTAAACTTGCAATTTCATTTGGTGGACCCTAGTTCTTATATTATGGGAAGAAGTAAATAACTTTTCCATATTCACTTTCTCCACACCACTCATGATTTTATCATAGCCCTATCATAGCCCCTCTTAGTCTCCTCTTTTCGAAGCTGAAAAGTCCTAGCCTCTTTAATCTCTCCTCATATGGGACCTGTTCCAAACCCCTAATCCTTTTAGTTGCCCTTTTCTGAACCTTTTCTGATGCCAGTATATCTTTTTTGAGATGAGGGGACCACATCTGTATGCAGTATTCAAGATGTGGGCATACCATGGGTTTATATAAGAGCAATAAGATATTCTTTTTCTTATTCTCTATCCCTTTTTTAATGATTCCTAACATCCCGTTTGCTTTTTTGACTGCCGCTGCACACTGCGTGGACGTCTTCAGAGAACTATCCACGATGACTCCAAGATCTTTCTCCTGATTAGTTGTAGCTAAATTAGCCCCCCACATATTGTATGTATAATTGGGGTTATTTTTTCCAATGTGCATTACTTTATATTTATCCACAGTAAATTTCATTTGCCATTTTGTTGCCCGATCACTTAGTTTGGTGAGATTTTTTTGAAGTTCTTCACAGTCTGCTTTGGTCTTGACTATCTTGAGTAGTTTAGTATCATCTGCAAACTTTGCCACCTCACTGTTTACCCTTTTCTCCAGATCATTTATGAATAAGTTGAATAGGATTGGTCCTAGGACTGACCCTTGGGGAACACTACTCATTACCCCTCTCCATTCTGAAAATTTACCATTTATTCCTACCCTTTGTTCCCTGTCTTTTAACCAGTTCTCAATCCATGAAAGGATCTTCCCTCTTATCCCATGACAACTTAATTTACTTAAGAGCCTTTGGTGAGGGACCTTGTCAGAGGCTTTCTGGAAATCGAAGTACATTGTGTTCACTGAATCCCCCTTGTCCACATGTTTGTTGACCCCCTCAAAGAACTCTAATAGATTAGTAAGACATGATCTCCCTTTACAGAAACCATGTTGACTTTTGCGCAGCAATTTATGTTCTTCTATGTGTCTGACTATTTTATTCTTTACTATTGTTTCAACTAATTTGCCCAGTACTGACATTAGACTTACCGGTCTGTAATTGCCAGGATCACCTCTAGAGCCCTTCTTAAATATTGGCGTTACATTCGCTATCTTCAAGTCATTCGGTACGGTAGCTGATTCATAGATATTTAGGTCAGAAGGGACCATTATGATCATCTAGTCCGAACTCCTGCACAACGCAAGCCACAGAATTTCACCCACCACTCCTGCAAAAAACCTCTCACCTATGTCTGTGCTATTGAAGTCCTCAAATCGTAGTTTAAAGACTTCAAGGAGCAGAGAATCCTCCAGCAAGTGACCCGTACCACATGCTACAGAGAAAGGCGAAAAACCTCCAGGGCCTCTTCCAATCTGCCCTGGAGGAAAATTCCTTCCTGACCCCAAATATGGCAATCAGCTAAACCCTGAGCATATGGGCAAGATTCATCAGCCAGATACCACAGAAAAACTCTTTCCTGGGTAACTCAGATCCCACCCCATCTAATAGACCATCACAGGCCATTGGGCCTATTTACCATGAATATTTAATTACCAAAACCATGTTATCCCATCATACCATCTCCTCCATAAACTTATCGAGTTTAATCTTAAAGCCAGATAGATCTTTTGCCCCCACTGCTTCCCTTGGAAGGCTATTCCAAAACTTCACTCCTCTGATGGTTAGAAACCTTCATCTAATTTCTAGTCTAAATTTCCTGGTGACCACTTTATATCCATTTGTTCTTGTGTCCACATTGGTACTGAGCTTAAATAATTCCTCTCCCTCTCCAGTATTTATCCCTCTGATATATTTAGAGAGAGCAATCATATCTCCCCTCAACCTTCTTTTAGTTAGGCTAAACAAGCCAAGCTCCTTGAGTCTCCTTTCATAAGACAAGTTTTCCATTCCTCGGATCATCCTAGTAGCCCTTCTCTGTACCTGTTCCAGTTTGAATTCATCCTTCTTAAACATGGGAGACCAGAATTGCACACAGTATTTCAGGAGAGGTCTCACCAGTGCCTTGTATAACAGTACTAAAACCTCCTTATCCCTACTGGAAATACCTCTCCTGATGCATCCCAAGACCGCATTAGCTTTTTTCACGGCCATATCACATTGGCGGCTCATAGTCATCCTATGATCAACCAATGCTCCAAGGTCCTTCTCCTCCTCCGTTACTTCTAATTGGTGCGTCCCTAGCTTATAACTAAAATTCTTGTTGTTAATCCCTAAATGCATGACCTTACACTTCTCACTATTAAATTTCATCCTATTACTATTACTCCAGTTTACAAGGTCATCCAGATCCTCCTGTAGGATGTCCTTCTCTAAATTGGCAATACCTCCCAGCTTTGTATCATACTCAAACTTTATTAGCACATTCCCGCTTTTTGTGCTGAGGTCAATAATAAAAAGATTGGTCCCAAAACCGATCCTTGAGGAACTTGACTGGTAACCTCCCTCCAGCCTGACAGTTCACCTTTCAGTAGGACCCGTTGTAGTCTCCCCTTTAACCAATTCCTTATCCACCTTTCAATTTTCCTATTGATCCCCATCTTATCCAATTTAACTAATAATTCCCCATGTGGCACGGTATCAAACGCCTTACTGAAATCTAGGTAAATTAGATCCACTGTGTTTCCTTTGTCTAAAAAATCTGTTACTTTCTCAAAGAAGGAGATCAGGTTGGTTTGGCATGATCTACCTTTTGTAAAACCATGTTGTATTTTGTCCCATTTACCATTGACTTCAATGTCCTTAACTACCTTCTCCTTCAAAATTTTTTCCAAGACCTTGCATACTACAGATGTCAAACTAACAGGCCAATAGTTACCCGGATCACTTTTTTCCCCTTTCTTAAAAATAGGAACTATGTTAGCAATTCTCCAATCATACGGTACAACCCCTGAGTTTACAGATTCATTAAAAATTCTTGCTAATAGGCTTGCAATTTCATGTGCCAAATCCTTTAATATTCTTGGATGAAGATTATCTGGGCCCCCTGATTTAGTCCCATTAAGCTGTTTGAGTTTCTCTTCTACCTCAGATATGGTAATATGTACCTCCATATCCTCATTCCCATTTGTCACCCTACCATTATCCCTAAGCTCCTCATTAAAGACCAAGGCAAAGTATTTGTTCAGATATTGGGCCATGCCTAGATTATCCTTGACCTCCACTCCATCCTCAGTGTTTAGCGGTCCCATGTCGTCTTTCTTTGTTTTCTTCTTATTTATATGGCTATAGAACCTTTTGCTATTGGTTTTAATTCCCTTTGCAAGGTCCAACTCTACTTGACTTTTAGCCTGTCTCACTTTATCCCTACATGTTCTGACCTCAATAAGGTAGCTTTCCTTGCTGATCCCTCCCTTCTTCCACTCCCTGTATGCTTTCTGCTTTTTCTTAATCACCTCTCTGAGTTGCTTGCTCATCCAGCTTGGTCTACAACTCCTGCCTATGAAATTTTTCCCCTTTCTTG